CCTCGAAGATAAGGAAGCCCGCGGAAGTTCCAATGAACTAGACGACGAATTGAAGTCACTACTGGAACCAAAACGCGCTAACAACTGTAGAAGAGCTTTCAGAACAGCTTGTCGTAAGCACACAAACAATTTCCGCTCACTTCAATCACGTATGCAAAACAGAAATGCACACAAGTGGATGCCTCATGAATTAGACGATAATAAAAAAATAGCCGTTTTGAAGTGCCATCTGCTCATATTTTTGGCCATAAAAATGAACCTTTTCCTAATAGAATTGTGAAGTGCGACGAGAGGTGGATTCTGTACAACAACGGGCGACGTTTAGTGCAGTGGTTGGATTACGACCAGGCTCCACAGCGCTTCCCAAGCCCGAAACTGCACCAAAAACGTTAAGGTGAAACTACGCCTCATACGCCGTATTCATCAGACCTCTAGGCCACCCACTATTACTTCTTCAAGCACCTTAACAACTTCCTGCTCGAGAAATGCTCTACCAACCACGATAACGCAAAAAATGCCTTCAACGAATTCAGCGCTTCCAGAACTCTGGAACATTAAGTAGTTGGAATAAGTAAACTTATTGCTCGTTGGCGAAAGTGTGTAGATTCAAATGTTTTTTGCTTTGATTAATAATATTTTATTTGAAACAAGCTACGACCTTTTAAATAACATCGTTAAAAAACTCACAAAGGTTTACCGCCTCTTCGTGGCTAGGAGGTGTTCCTGTGTGTGAGACTGCGTTGTATAACGGGGGATTTATCTCTCCGGCGGAATCTCCCAACTGAGAAAGAGTTGGCGTTTCCAGGAAGTCTAGCTACGAGTAAGCCAAAGCCAGGATCCACCACCGTCCTGGTATCAAAGTTGCATGGTGGCAAATCTTCCTTTGACCCACAAGGACTGCGACTGCCTATCGTGGTGGCGATCTGGGGCAGACTTAGGTCATGTTGACCTTGGAACTCCGGAGAACGCAATGGCTAAACCAACAAAGTTCCGAAAAATAGAGAATTTGCTGGAGCCCACACAGCCAGCCAGGGCGAGTCGTCCAAGTGCACAAGTATGGTTAAAACGGTTATTTATTTCTGAACAGCCTAATGTATCACACTTGCGCATCATATCACGCCACCAGCCTATAACACATCATTTTCTCAATACTAGCATTCTCTAAGGGCGCGGGTGGTGCAGCAGTTGGGGCTGTCCTGCGATATGCACGTGGGATCAATCCTCGGGCCGGTGGCTTGCCATGCCTTCCATCCATCCGGTGTTGGCAAATTGGTACCAGACTTGTCTGGGAGGATAGCAGTACTGGTTCGAACATCGGTAGGCCACCTCAAGTCATTTTAAAAGCCAGTTATGTATTCAATCACTTCCATCGACACTTAATGAAGTCGAATGCATGGGGCGTCCCTCAGGGATTGATCAACGCGAAGACCTTTAACCTTCATCCTTTGTTTAACCATCCTCTTACGTATCGTCTAACCCTCACTTATTGAACCTATTTGGCATATTTTCGCTTGTATTGTTTCGATATTGGTATATCGTCACTGCTGTACTTTTGTTATTATAAATGATCTGATTAACCAACTTTGATCTTGTGTTCTTTAACATTATCGAAAAGCTCAGATGGCTAGTTCATATGATGTCGAAAATTCTGCTTTGCGCTAGTGATTACTCAGTGCCGAGAACTGGCTCACAAACGTATTTTCCGCTAGCAACTGCTATGTATTATGGCGAATTGGCCTGAGTATTTTATACGTATTTTCGCCTATTAAAAAATACACTCATAATCAACGCGTTGCAGACATCCATGAACACTGCGTGCCACCAAGTAAACCTGTTCTATTTTTTCCTTCAGGTAAACTGTGCAAAAAGGATTTTAAATTCTTATACTGCAAATAACACTCACACTAAACTACTTAGAGACGCTATTTACCATGCTGTGGATGGCGTGTCATCGTTGTGTCGTCACACTCACGGAGGCGGCAGGAAATGCAGTCGGCCCGTCTGGCTTTGGGCACTAGTTAGCCTCTCTGGCCGACTTACTCTGCCACCCCTCCGACCAACGTCAATACTCGCCTGATTAACTACTGATTGCTATTACAAACTATGTTTTCGCAACCATACAGCTTTAGATACTCATAATTTCCGTCAATGCTAGAGCGGTGCTACAGCTAACGTTTTTCGATGCATTTCAAGCTGATTTAAGCTTACGGGACGTATCTTAATGAATTTGCAGTATTTCTTGAAGAATAGTAGATGCTCTCCATGCCTGTTCTCTTCTTCAAACAAAGAATTTCTTTATGATCGTGCTCTCATCACTGCGTCCCAATGAGTTGTTGGAAAAGCCATTAGTTAGCAATATTTTTCGCAATTAAGGCCATAACTTTGCCCAACCACGTAGTGGTTTGCTACCATACGCTGTTATCGAGTGATCAAGTTAGATGACGAAATTCTGTTTTAAAATACTGTTGTGAATCACTGTAACAAATCTCGGACGTTGCTTATTATTTACGGTTTGGACTTGAGTACTCCCAGTGAATAGTTAAATAAAGAAGTTTGCATAAGTTTCTTTTATTATCGTGGAGATACCACACGATAAGGAATATCATAATGGTACTAAAAAGATCCTAGGAGTAAAAATTTTCCGCAAGTCTTTCCAACTTTTGATGCCGTCTTGTTCATAATTCTGATTTTTTGCTATTAAAGCGATCCCTTAGTTGCAGTACAATTCTCAGCACAATTCTAGAGATGTCGTTGAATTCTAATGGAAACGATAATGGAATGAAACGTAAAATGAGCGACACAGAGCGACAATAATGCGGGCCGAAGATGACCTATCGAAATGTACGGTCAACCTTACTGAACCGCATATTTGGTAAGGAAGAAGAATTGTTAGTTGGTACAGTAAAAAAAATCGCGTTTTTATGTGAGGTTACTTTTGGAACCTTTAAAGTTCACCTCTGAATATTGGAAGTTATCTTTTAGGGTTTTACATATACTGGAAATCGTTTTGGCTGTGCTTGCGCTTATCGCCAACTGTATTATGACCGTCGTCACTCATAACGCCATCCCAGTACCATATCCACAGCGACGAACGCTTGTGAGTATTGCCTAGAACACCTCTATTTAGTTTGCTGAAGTCCATCTTGAAAGGAATTGTTCAAAAGTTCTTATGAAACCCGTCATTACAGTTCGACTACTATAGCAACTGCTTTCCAGAAATAATTGTCAGCATATAAAGATTGTTTATTTATGAGAATCGAAATTTCATTATTGGTCAGCTCGGTAATATGAATTCAATTTAGGCGTCAATCTCGTTCAACTTCGTGCTGCTAGCTGGTTACCAACTTGCCAGAAATTTGTTCCTCGGAGTGTCTATGTACAAGCCGTGTATCACTGTGGTAATAGTTTCGTTTTATTTTTGTTACATCATAAAATGGCACCTTTTGCGATAATCCTCTGTCGTTAGTTGAAAATCGTCTACTATTTTTCCTGTTTTACAAAACCATTGTCTTTTTTTAGTTTCAGGTTGACTTTATGTTTTGTAACAATGTTACCTTCGTATGAAATGCTGAGATATTCGCAAAACTCCGTGTATGCAATGGAGAACGAACACGCGCTGTTGTCCTTACCGTGGAGCAGCGCACTTCACCACTACACCATCCGGTTCCTTCGCTTTGCGCATATCTCAGCTACTTCTATCGATCTTATTTGCCATCAGCAATCACCCGTCAACGGGGTTGATCTGGGGAGCCAATATCGGCATTGAACCCAGTTAAGCTGAGGCTTAGTTATAATCACAATCTTAAATCTTTTATCTCAGCATTTCATACGAGTTATATTTCGCAACATAACCTGCCATTAAGAAGAAAAAAAAGGCAGTAAATAAAAGATTTAAGAATTTTACCTTCGTTCTTAATTTCGTTATCGTGTCTACATAGTGCTTCTGGGTTTTAACTGTGATATATAGCGAAGCTTCATGCGTTTTCAAGTTCAGCCTTTTTATCACTTTGACATTGTATCTGAGGAACTAGCTAAGAGCTGACAGTTATGCCAGTATTTGCTACCAACCTTGAAGGATCTTATAGCCAAGGTGACAAACTTCTTCCCGCTACGCAGCCCGTGGTCCATATCTGTGGTTACGATCAAGGAGCTTTCTGATACGAGTTACTCCAAACGTCATCGAGGAAACTTATTAGAGGAGCAGGATATCTGATAAGTTGGAGATATAATGAGACGCAATGAATTTAGGTATGCATGCTATTAAATAAACTAGTTTTGAGGACAAAACTTGCTGATAAGACAACTATTTATATATGGTAATAATAGTCTCACATTTAGAATTCTCACCTAATTTTGGGCATATAGTGTTTAATCAAATGAATGTTTCAAATTTATTTACAAGCCTATGAGTTGTATTTACCAATCGTGCTATTATCAGCAGTGACCGTGCAGTTGTTGGTGTGGGCTTGCTCATATGTTTACGTCAGTGTATACTGTGCATAACTATCCGTCCATATGTATGTGGGTATGTAAACTTATGTGGGGTTCACATATGAGTATTAATATGGATATAAATGTATATATATATATGCTTGTGTGATCTGTCGTTATGAAAACAGTGATGCGTCGATGTATGTGGCGAAATAAATACTACATGTTACCCGTTGCCGATGCCATTACTGTTTTCTCAATCTGTGATTTAAGACGAGTTTTTCAAAAAAGAGGTATTTGCGAATTCTGTGAAAGCTGGCTAAGGAAGAGCTCAAAAGTCTCTCTACCGTCCACATAAACGAAGCGCACACTGGTCTGCCTCTAATAATGAATTAATTGCTAAAATAGCAAGGATTTTACGATGAAGAAAAATAGGAGAAATTTGAGAACCAAACTATATCTAGTGGTGATAAAATGAGCTCATGGACGGTTCGCTGTATCGAGTATGCGGATTCTTCTTAGATTTCATATGAGGATAAAACTTGCTATACATAGATAGATATCATTGGTATTACTACGATCCATATCTTCGCAGCCGTTTTCATCGGCTGGTTTATAAAATAAAACCAAAATTTGTAGAAATGTTTCTGCGAGGTCTTCGAGTTAGACGCTATCAATATATCAATATATTTTTATTCTCTAAAACTAAGGTTAGACAGATTGAAGTTCATGAGTTCTTAATGGAATGCATCTTAATACAATAGCACGATACAGGTCACTACATTAACGTGCAAGCAACACGAGTTCCCGTTGCTCTTCTGTTACATTCACGGTGCCATGGCAGTTCTCATCGCAGCAATCCAAGCTATGACTCAAATGAAGTGAGTTAAATCCTATCTCATTCCGCTACTCTTTCGATTTGTTCGCTGCTGGCTAGCATAGTATCGATTAGTTTCTCTACGCCAGATCTGCATTTTAAACAAGAAGTGGTCGGCTAATAGCGGATTGTGACACAGTTGCTGTGGTATTCACTGTCGTCCTGTGCAATTTTGTATTCGAAAACATTTCATTTAGTAACAGCTGATTAAAAAAAGCGTGTTTAGGCCGAATCATCGCCCATCTCAGTGGACATCTACGTGTTCCGTATGGCAGAGCGCTCTGATTGTGGTTTGCATTGCAGCTACTCTCGTGTTTACTGCTTTTGATCACGACTTGGAGCCACAGAAAATGGGACAGGTGAGAAGTACTTGTAAAATTTCTAATGATACAATCTTCGAACGGATTTCGAAAGGAAATAACTAGGTATTTCTCTTGTGTTAGGCTAGTGTAAGTTTATGAATACACTATATGGCAGTTGTCACCAAATTGTGATACAATTCCTATTCACAATTTTTAATTCTTATTTTCAAGTGCTCGATACTACTGGCACTTCGTGATCCGGATCTCACCTTCTGCCTTCTAACACTATTAATTTTACTCCATGCTGCCTCTGCCGCCGTCGCCAGCTTTTCTGCTCGTCGTCGCATGAACAGGTTATGTTATAATATCAAAGCAAGCATCCATACTCTTTAACCTTACGAAGCATTTACTTTGTAAGAATAGGATCTCCTTTACGTTGTGAAAGAGTAGGACTGCAGTCATTGGGCGGCGTCTTTCCGATTAAGTTTTCCTATCTAGATATAGATGAATCACCGATGACGTACTGTATTGCAGAATGACAGCAACTGTCTGTTTAACTATATCGCTAAAGGAGGTTTTTGCAACAGAGACCGTACTGTGGCATTTCTCACTGTTTTTCTCAGGATGCTGTGTAGTTTATCGACATATTGTCACAGATTCCTGCGAAGATGTGAGTTTTTCGGCTTCATATTACCTGCGTCACCTATCCTGTTAAGTTAACCAGAATTTCTCAAGCAGACACACGCAGTTTTTACCCACTGTTTGCGTGTCAGCACAGGTTTGGTGCAAAAATAGCTGAGGCTCAGGACCGTGATTTTCACTATCACTGGGCTCAAGCGGAATATTATCGGTCAAAATAATATGCACTATAACCTATACACTTTTGAAAAACGGATATAATTTATGTATTTTAGCGGAATAGAATTGTGGATTTTTCGAAACAGCGAAATTCCTCGAAGGCATTTTTAGCCAAGATTTGATTTATTGCAATCTCTGTACGGAAACAACAGTCGAAATATCTGGAAAAGGTTCTAATTCGTTGGTGGTTGATCTTTTGAGTCTAATGATTATCGCAGGTTTTCGTAACCCAATATAGGGCATTCGATTGTGTTGTTATTGCTCGGACGCCGTCCCATAAAAGAATTCGTCGATGTTTGCCTACTGCAAGCATTCTAGTAATCTGACGTTTTAAATATTTGCTCACAACACTTATTTGCTCCAATGTCCTCGCTAAGATTTAAAAAGTGAGAGTGAATGATTTCGTAAGTAGACCAAAATAAAGCAACCTTTACAGTGAACACTGATCCTGAAAGGAATTCAGAAAGACTGACATGGGATCCTGACTTTCTGATAGGTTGGAAGGTTAGCTGTTAAAGAGCTGTTCCGTCGAGAAATGTTGATAAAGACCGTGTGTCATGGAGAAACTTTATGAATAGGTTGCAAATTGCAGTTTAAAGATAACCAAATAAAGGATTACGACAGTTCCATTTGAGGTCCGCATCTTAGAAGACTGTATCCTTCTTCATACCCATCTTCTTATCCTTGTAGAGCTATTATTTAGCAAGCCAATGTAGCCGAGTGTTGTTTTCACCAGACAAAAGGAATGACTGGAAACAATAAAGGTCGATAATAGGAACCTGTCATCATGACCGTGATTCTCGTCAAGGAAGCAACCTTTTCCAAATATGTTTAATAGAAAGAATCCGACAGCATCACAAAGGGTAAAGAACAAAGCGTTCCACGTTTGTCTATTCTTTAGGAATGCGCATGCATTCAACCCCATTGTACAGGTGAATGAATACGTACCTCTCCTATGCAATTATTTATGATAGTGCGTTGATGCAGCAAGTCGGTGTCCTTATTCTCCGACAGAAGTTTGGCGCCAAGTTGTTAACCCCGGAAAAGTGAAGCTTGGGCCCTGTCGCAGGATTGAAACAACGACCGATCTTCTGTGTGTTGTAGGCTACCTCTAAACACTGCGGTACACGTACCTCTGACAACGTCTTGCCAACATTAATTGAGGATGATTCTGTTCTCTTGAGTTAGAGTCGTACTGTAGAAGTTGAATACAAGGGCAAGTAGAAGAATAGACATCATCTCGTTCTGTTGCTCCAGGGAAATTCCTTTATCTCGTCCTATTTACTACGCATTGGTGGCGGCCACACACATTAAAGTTGTTCGATTTTCTATCTTTGTTATACGGATAATCATACTTTGTAATAATATTTTCCGCATTCACTTTTACCAACTGGAAATGAGACGCTTTAGTCGCAGACGTTAGTATAATATCGTCAGTTCTAGCAAGCCACATTGCTGCTGCTTCAGCCATCAAACAGTGGCAACCTAAATTAAATGTGCAGAAAGCACCAACTAACGCTTTTGATAATGAGCAATAAGCAATAATTATCAGAGCTTGAGTTAATAAGTTGTATTTTTCTTGTGGCAAGGTATTACCGAGCACACTGGTTAAAAGAACTGTGCAATGCAACGATACATACGTGGTCCACCTCGCTTCCCCGTTCCACTGAACATTCCATCTCTCCGACGTTTGCAAATTGTTACCAGACTTCTCTGGAACTACAGCATTAATGATTTGATCAATCGGTAAGCCACCACAACTCACTATGTAGGCCAGTCATGCATCAATCTCTTCTAACGATGTTTAACGAGGTCGACTGGTAGTGTATCCCTTCGGGGTTAATCAATACCGACAGTTTATCGTTTTCATGAGCTATTATCACATCCTAATTTGAAAAACAACACGTTGCTTTTTCGTGAAGAATATCAATTCTCATATGCCGATCGAAATCATAGGAAGATAGGCAAGTTGTGCTTCGTTAACTCCTTCGAAAAAGCAAGTAAGCTGCTCACTCATCCAGAGTTCTGAAAAAACGTTTTCCGAAGGCGCTTGTCTTAAGACAACTGGCGATAATATCTCAATAGCTAATATGCTTTTCGACTTAACGTTTTGACATATTTATTCGGGAATCTTTCCTTGTCACTATAAATACGTGTATGCTTTCCAAACGTTACCCTTGTTTTAATTTTTTAAGCTAAAGATAAAACTGTCAATGCAATAAAAAAAATTTCAATTTTATAAAGTTGTGTTTCAACCCCTGTTTACTACCTATTATTTTTCCACAACAGGGTACGATGTGATATATAATCATATATTATGCTGAGAGAAACAATAAAAGTTGAAAGATAGAAGATGAAGATACATAATGAAAGATGAAGCATTATGATTTCCCCTGCAGTTTCAGATTGTAATCGCAGGTTGGAAGCTCACCTAAGGCTCCGAGTTTTGCTCATATCTCAGCAGTATTCGATTGCATATAGAAAGTTAACGTCATGTTTTACTGACAGCCGATATCTCGTTTGCTCATTGGCTTCGTTGCTATATGGATAGGAGCGTCGACGAAAAAAAAAGCTAGTGACAACGAATTATGAGCTCCAGAACACTAGCATGTTGTGATAGGTTTGGTATACCTATTGGCAAGCAGTATTTGTGTTTCAATGGTTTTCATTTCAATTAAAAGAGTTTTCTGTGAGCTAACTCACATGATCATGTAAAGCTGGAAGATGGTATTCTGTTCGGCCACTTTTACACTGCGTTCAATTCATGCCGCCGTGAATGCGTTGTACTAGACTTCGCACCTGCAACTTTTCAAGGATTTGCTGGATAACGATGATGAATACTAATAGAAAAGGACATTGCCTGCACAATGTTCACGACGAAAAGAAAATTCCTAAGGAATGTCACGCTTAACCTCGTCTAATAGATCAACTGAATAAAGGAACTGAATCGATACTAGCAAATTGAGCACTTCAATTAACATTCAGCAAAATTCCTATTTCATACGTTTCATTGAATACCTTGTATAGGAAAGTATGCGAAAATTCGAAAATCTGTGTTTAGTCAAATCTCTAAATTTTCAGTGCATTTTGATCGCCCTGGAATTGTCTTTCATCATTCTGCCGCTTATTGTAGCTTTCCTTCATCCTATGCTAACAATATGGTATGTAACAGTACCGTCATATTTCAAAACGTACAATAATCGTTTCGTATTTCCTGTGATAGTGAGATGGCTTACTTATTTTTCTTTTTTACCTCTCCATTTGTCTTACTATCACAAAATTTACTCTTAGGTATGTCTTTCCAATGCGTGACGCTGCCGTTAGAGCATATCCGTGTCTCCGTTCGCTTTTGCCAGAATACGCAATAGTTCCGCCACCTCCCTTATACACTGAAAGACGAGGAAAGTCGTGTAAGTTTAGTGAATAACGCCGTTAGAGTTCATTTTGAAAATAGGAATGGTGCATTGAAACTTTAAAAAATTGAAAAAAAATTCTTGGTCCATTGTTGCTGAGGAAACGCTTCGCGTTTTCTGTAGCTGTTTCTGGGTTGGAAACTTCCAGATGTAATAACAAGTAACATGCAAAATAGTCTTTGAGTCAATATATTGCCATGTTGGTATACAATTCGCTTCGTTACACACACATAGAGGCATTAAGGATTTCAACCCTTGCAACATTTCCCACTCTTCACGAAGCAATTCCCAAAACCGGCTTTCTGTTATCTTCGGCACTGATTGATAATTCGATGTTTTTCTTCAATAAGTAGACACAAGGTTGTTATTGTAGAATTTATTAGGATACAAGAGCTGACGTTTCGGCGGTTTCGCCTTCTTCAGAGCCTGGTAGTAACTCCTACTTCGAAATCTTCTCCGTTGTGTTCCTGCATACTATGCGTGCCTAGTGGAGTGTTTGGTTTTAATTTAGATTTACCGACTAGGTGTTCTTTTATGCGGACGCAGAGCGGTCTGCCCGTTTCTCCGACGTATTCGTCCCCGCACGCTTTACAAGAGATCAGATAGACTGTACCCGAACTCATTCAATCACCGTCTCTACTGTTAGGGAAAATTATGAAGTTTTTCGTTATACATAGACGGCCATATGGGAGGTTGCGAACTAGCTGGCGTCTTAGAGTGCCCGATGATATTTCTATCACTCTTACGAAATTCCCTAGACCCGCCCTTATTAAGCAACGTTTTATAGCTGCACTTATTTCGTTTGAAATTAAGAAGAAGAGGAGCGGAGCCTTGTTTTCGCCAGAATATCGCTCTCGGGCGTGGTTTTTCCTGTATGCCTATGACGAGAAGCTACAGTTTCGTAACCATTTGAAATGACTATTTGACGCGCTAGTCTCGAGGATTCTTCTCTCTGCTCTCTACCTGTGTACACGCTGGTGGCGGTTTGAAACATATTTCTTTTCATAGTGTCAAAATGGCAAGCGCAGCTGGTTTAAGACCAGCAGATATTTCGCGTCTTAAGATCGAAGTGCCGACATTTTCCGTCCTATACTTACTTATCAAGACCCGTAAGTTAATATCCGCTGATGATCTGATATCTATCTGAATTGATATCTACCGACCTCTCCAACAGTAAAGTTAGACCCATCATCAGTTGCGTAGACGGGCCTACCGTAAAATTGCTTGGTTTATAAATCTAGTCTTCAACCAGTTGCTTAAGCACACACCAGCCCATCTCACGAAAACCCAAATGTTCCTAAACCGTCTGCGCAACGTACGTCCCAAAATCGCGTACGTTATGGAGCCGTTCGACGTTACCGCCCTTCACACTCACGTATCGAACAACTACGCAACGCAAGCCATCCGCGAGCTCCTTGAGCAACACGAAGAAGCAGTTAACATGTATGGCTTTTCGATTCAGCAGCTTATGGTCCTTCTAAAGGTCTGTTTAAACTGCTCGATCTTCAGATGGTCAGGGAAATATTACGCGCAAATTAGAGGGTTGGCAATGGGACAGCGACTGGCACTAACCCTTGCCGTTGCGTTCATGTCTAAAATGGAAGCACTAGTAATCGATCTCAGGCCATTACTCTACTGTAGGTATATAGATGATTGTTTTGTCATCTGCTACACATAAGAGAAGATGGGCAAATGCTTTGAGTTATTGAACGAACAGTCAGAGTACATAAAACTCACCTGTCGATCTCAAGATGCGAAATGTCTGCTGGTTTTAAACCAGCTGTACTTGCCATTTTGACACTATGAAAAGAAATATGTTTCAAACCGCCACCAGCGTGTGTACAGATAGAGAGCAGAGGGAAGAATCCTCGACACTGGGACGCCAAATACCCATTTCAAATGGTTACGAAACTGTAGCTTCTTGGCATAGGCATAGAGGAGAACCCACGCCTCAGAGCGATAATTCTAGCGAAAATAAGGCTCCGCTCCTTTTGCCCTTTATATCAAACGAAATAAGTGCAGCTATAAAACGTTGCTTATTTTAAGGGCCGGTCTAGAAGATTCCGTAAGAGTGATAGAAATACTATCGGGACACTCTAACACGCCAGCTAGTTCGCAACCGCTTATGTGACAGTTTATGTATAATGAAAAACTGTATAATTTGCCCTAATGGTAGAGACGGTGATTGCATAAGTTCGGGTACAGTCTGTCTGATCTCTTGTAAAGCGTGCGAGGACGAATACGTTGGTGAAACGGGTAGACCACTCTGCGCCCGCATAAAAGAACAACTAGTCGGTAAATCTAAATTAAAACCAAACACTCCACTAGGCACGCATAGGGTGCAGGAACACAACGGAGAAGATTTCGAAGAAGGAGTCACTATCCTCACGCACGAATCGAAAACACCAGCGCGTAAAACTCTTGAAGCGTTTTGGATCAATTCCGAAAATTCAAAAATGAACCGCAAGGAGGAGTATCCTGTCATCACATGTGACCTGGCGCCATAGCTCAGCCTAATCCAATGACCGACACAGACACAGTTATCGCCCATGTATATACTCTGTGCGGCTGTTATCCATCAACTAACTTAAATACTTACAACAAATAAACGGTAGGTGTTCAAATAAAGCTGTTTCTTATGCGAATACAAATTTATTTGTTAAATTTTATCTGCTAGGGCTATAAAAGTGTTTGGCTGAGTTGATCGCATCTAAATTTGACCTTTTCAGGCTCTGAAAAAGGCGAAACCGCCGAAACGTCGGTTCTTGTATCCTAATAAATTCTATAATAACAACCTCGTGTCTGCTTACTGAAGAAAAACATTAAATTTTCCACTGTTCTCCATCATTTCACGTGATGCTCTCATGGAAGGGAAACACTAAGGAATTGCCATACTTTTTGGATAATTAGTGAGATTGGTGTAAAAAGATGAAAGGGTAATGGCGTTGATCGACCCCTGAGGGATGCGAAATGCATTTCACCTCACCAAGCATCGTTCCAGGTGATTTAATGCGTTTCTGGCCTGTACGGTAACTTACGGAGATCTACCGATGTGTCAGGTCGGTGATACTATTCGCCCAGATAGGTCTGGTAGCAATTTCCCCGCGGATGAAGGGCGTAGGACGTGTGAAGCTCGTGCGCGTGATCGAGTCTATGTGTATTGCAGAGAACCTTTAGCAACTGCGCTAAATGCGCCACTTAATAGATTAGAATAATTTCAGAAATATAGATCCTTACCTCGTACTGGTATGTGGGAGCTCATTTTCATTTTTATTCCACTTGTAAGAAATGGTTCAAATTGTTAGTGACGTAAAATGAGACCTAGTTTCAGCAAACTCGATTGTCGATGCTACCATGAACCTTCATCATACGCAGCCAGTGAGAGTTGCAATGCCAAAGAACTACGAACTTGCAGAAACTAGCTCTTAACATAAATAAATAATAGTTCGTTACATGACAAAGCATGGAATGTTTATTGGATTTGCGTTCTTATGAATCTGGACTGAATTCATTTCTCAACTGCTGGTGACCAATCTAGTATTGAACGTTTCTACTCCTTATGAGTTTTCAACCACATAAATTCATCGACTGAAGTGGTGTGAGCAATTTGGGGGAGGCATAGAAACATCTCGGAATTATGACACTATCAACTGTCTTAACCCTTTTATTTCCTGCCTTTTTCTTTTTAATGGCAGGGTATGTTGCGAAATATAGCTCGTATATAATGCTGAGATATTTGCAAAACTCCGGACCGCAGGTGTATGCGGTGGGGAACGAACACGCGCTATTGTCATTTCCGGGGAGTAGCGCACTTCACCACCGCACCATCCGGGTCCTTCGTTTTGCCTGTCTTTCAGCTAGTTCTATTGATCTTTTGCCATCAGCAATCACCCGTCAACGGGATTGATCTGGGGAGCCCAAAACAATAGAACTAGCTGAGAGACAGACAAAACGAAGGACCCGCATGGTGTGGTGGTGAAGTGCGCTACTCCCCGGAAATGACAATAGCGCGCGTTCGTTCCCCACCGCATACACCTGCGGTCCGGAGTTTTGCAAATATCTCAGCATTATATAGGACTATCAACAGTTTTGTCATTCGGTCCTTTTTGTGTTTCGCGTTTTCTGTTTTTCGTACACTTCTACATGAAGGTTATCATTAACAGAAGTCTCCTTCACATATGAGATTCGGATTCTCATGGCTACAAGGTACTGGATTACTTTTAACTGTAACAGGTTCAAGAGAATTCAGCAAGAGTTTATTCTCATCACAGTCGTTCGCACGTAGTGAGTACATACATTATTTCCATGGTATATATTTGTAATGGCGCTAAAACACTTAAGTAAAACAATATAAGCTCTGCTCATTTATTCTTAAAAATATTAATGGCCAAAAATTGGTGGGGAAACACAGTAAAAGGTGTACATATACCTCAACCAGCTCATCAAAATTACACGTGATGAGGTATCTGGAAACTACAGCGCTTAACAACAACAAAAGAACAAACTATGTATTTTATAATGTTACTTGACAGCAAACCAGTCAATAAATGTATCGTCTGCTTTGCTTGCTTTCAAGACTTTTTTCCAGATAATCGAGTTCCTGAGATGAGAGATCAAGAATGCGGGCAATAGCATAGACGTTTGCCAGTTGACTATTCACATCACTTAACAGAGATATTTATTAAGCTGATACTCATAATTGTGATAATGTTTACCTCAGAATATAATCGACAACGGAAAATCGTGATGACGGGTTATTCTCAGGTGTTTGGAACGAGTCCGTACTACCGCCACTATGTAGGAGACCAGAAAATAATAACATTTACAAATTAGTTATCGGGCCTTTAATTGTGTGGTATGCACTTCATCTTACTTCAAAAGTAAGCTCGAGCCGGTTTAGAAAATGAAGAACAGATTTGTAAAGGGAGGAAGCAATGAAGATGAAAATCGTCTTCATAGGAGATCGATAGGATGAAGAATCACTGAGAATGTGAGAACTCACCGCTATTTTCTCTCATGTTCCGTTTAAGATCATTGATAAGACCTTGTTGGGTGTGGATTAGTATGTCGCGCTCCCGTACCTCGTCTTCCAAACTGAGAACACGTCGTTCCCACTGAATAACAGCTTATTCATTGGTTATCTGTGTACAACTTTATGGATTTTTTAAAATATAACAGAAAAATGTAGTTATAGGCAGTATGAGTCTGCCGTCTGTCGTTCTTTTTTAATGAAATTCGAAGCCACTGGGTCAATGCAGTAAAAGCTTGCATCTTCCTCACAGACAACGTTAATGAATGTAATGCTTCGAGTGAGCACGAAGACCTAATTCAACTATGATTTAGTTATGTATCTAATTCGAGCCGAAAACATGTTGCAGTTCAATTAACGAACTCGATCGACTATTTGTGCAATGCTTGTACTGGCCAGTATCTCCTTCTGTTTTTCGAGTTCACGCTGCATATCTTCAATTTCGATTGATAGCAAGACATCCTGTAAAATCCACCGGAAGTTCACATATTATGCCTTAGTAATCACGTTAGACACTTTTAGAGTTTAAGCAAACTTTAGCTAAAGCTTCGCCTTTCTCTGCTTCTACTGCCTTTCTGATCGAATTCAACTCCTCCTGTAATGTCTCCTTTTCTTTGACAAGATGTGCTGATTTATCCCTCTCGCTATCCAGCTCATCCCTTAAACTACTTATTTTCAGCCAAAAAAGGAACCTTCCTAATCTATAAGTAGAAAAAGAAACTAGCCTTAATGATTCAATAACCCCTGTTTGTCGTGCCATGGTCTGTTTCTGATGATCCATAACGTCGTTGTTCTTTTCGACTAATTTGTTGACTTCAGATAACTTTTCTTTCAGTGTTATCAATTCATGATCCTTTTTCTCCACCAAGTCGCACAGCTCTGCTATTTCCGAAGACAGTTCACTGTACTGCTGTAATAGTGTAAGCTTAAAACTGACTTCATGAGTTTTTTAAATATCACGTGTAGTAAAAATTGCCGGTGGTACACTTCAATTTCTTAAAAATGCTCTACCATAATCTCGACACGTTTACGTATTGTCGGGGCACTAACTTCCTACACGGTTCCTAAAAGAATATGCGTGTTTCGTTTCATAAACAAGGCAACGCTACAAGCATTAATGAGGAATCTGGTGTTAGTTTCGTGGATTCGGTAGCATAAAAAAGATAATTGTTTAAAGCGGGCTACATCAATACTCTTTATTGTCATACGTGTATGTGACTGTAATGAACTATACTATGGTCGATTTATTAGTACCCATGACTTTAGGAAGGGTCCCAGAAGTTGCAGTTGTTACCTCCTTCACCATCGAAGTCGGAAAACATAGTTTTTAAAGCCAAGAATAAGTTTCTAGCAGGTGTCTGAGGTGGAGAACGAACGCGCTATTACTCTTTGCGAAGGCTAGCGCGTTCACCACCACACCACGCTGTTCCCTCTTTTCGACTGTCTCTCAGCTAATTTTATTGTTCAGTGCCATCAGCAATCACCCGTCAACGGAACTGATCTGCGGATATAACTAGCCGAGAGACGAGCGAAACGAAGGACCCACATGGTGTAGTGGTGAACGCGTTACCACCAGGAAACGGTGTTGGCGCGTTCGTTCCTCAGCGCAGACATCTACGGTCCGGAGATTTTGCAAATATTTCAGCATCACTGTGGCTGTATTTCGCATAATAACCTGCCGTGAAAATTTGTAGTAGGGAGCAAATAAAAAGTAAACACTAAGATTCTGGCTTTCCAAACTTTTGACATTTTTAATAAATTAAATTGTTTACTTGTTCGGCTTCAACATCAACTTGATCGACATATGCTCTTGCTTCCTCAAGTTCGTTCTGGAGTTTTTGGTTTTCTCGAAGTAGCTTCTCGACTACCACTTCCTTAAAAACTCATAACTGAAAACATGAGATAGTACCTAATGGTTTAATTGTATTTAGATCCCTTAGATTGGAAAAGTGTCATAAAATGGTCCTACGAGTGGAAAGTCCTTGGAATCCATATTATGATATTGTTGTTCAAGAATATTTAACTACTCACCACACGTGAGTTGTTCATCACGTCACTGATTTGTGCTAGCAATGAGCGATTCTCCTTATTGAGACATTTTTGGGAATCTGGCACAACTTTCAACATTGTATAATTTTCCTGAAGGATATGAACTACGTGGCAAACAACAACGAAACAATAAAATGCGCCGATTGTCTGCAGAACGGAACGAAAGCAGCGAACGAAAAACGATGGGTTTGGCCGTGGGTCATGTAGCGAGTCTTCTCAGGTGATATTTCGTTGAAATAAAGCTTGATTTTGTGAAGAAAGTGCATAGATGGTGCGTTATGCGTAATCATTCAGTGATTTGTGGCCGAACCATGGTGAAAAGGTGTGGTTAGGGAGCGTTTCAAAACTTGTTTTAGAGTCATAGGGCACCTACGATTTCACCCATAATTCATAGCCATTCAAAACAACAATGAGAATATTGGAAGAAACGGAAGAAATCTCACGAAAAGGGTGTTATAATGAGTGCAGTAAGACATCAGTGAGGGATGAAAAACATAAATGATGAATAAAAGACGATCTGAAATGCGATACAAATAACAATGAGGAATGCCGGTTGTACTATGGTGCCCGAAACCTAATGAAGGTATTGGTATGCTGCAAACTTCAAAATCAGACCATTAGTGCCTTTCCATTGTTGCGAATACTGAGCCGGTGTAGAGTGTCTTGGATGTCAGATGAGGGTAGCTGACTGAAAACAAAAGCGCTTACCAGAAGTAGCAATAAGCTGAACAAGATACTACTGCGATCGACTACAGATTCTATGTACGATGGCATTGTATGCAATGCTAAATCGCGTTGTATTCGCAGTCATCGTGCTGACATACCGCCAAGTGGCGGTGGAAACTAAAGACTGCTCAGACATTTTTTATTGTTCGCAAATTATCCACTGATGTGTTATGTCACATATAACAAGAGTGGTTCCTATAGATAGTTGCCGGTAAGATAGTGACAAATCACATGATATAACATACGTATATATGTACACATGTATATACATGTATGCATATAAGATGAATGATATAATGACCCCTCCCAACGGTTCACCGCCTCATCGTGACTGGGAGGTGTTCCTGGGTGTCGGACTGCGATGTACAGAGGGGGGAATCGTCCCACCGGTAGGGTCTCCCCAGCTGAGAAAGAAGAGTCCGGCGTTTCCATCAGGAACCCTAGCTAAGAGTAAACCAGTACCAAGATCCACCACCGTACTAGCATCAAACTAGTCGTATGGTGGCAAATTTCTCTCTGATCCACAAGGGCTGCGACCGCCTGTGGTGGCGAAGACCTGGGACAGACTTTGGTCAGGCTAACCTTGGGATTCCAGGGAACAACAGTGGCTTAACCAGCAAACCTCCGAAAAATGGTGATTGTGTGGGGCAGCACAACTAGTGAGGACGGGCCGTTCAAGTAACAAGTACCAAGTAAGATATAATGACGTATCGTAGCTTTGATAGCTTCAGAAATTTTTCGACTTTTTCTTGAACGATTTCTTAGTTATTCTACCACTGACGTAAGAACATAAATTTTTTACTCTCTTCTAAAAATAACGACTACTGAAATACCGAAGGATTTACTTTAAAAAATTTCTCTAAATACGAAACTGCACGTAGTTACATTAGAACATCGCACAGAAAATCATGAAAAGAATGAAGTCTACTATCAAGAAACTGATCAGGAAGAGATAGCGGAATCTTAAGAAATTTACTCAACACATCCGCCTATAGTTGCCGGAATGAGAAAGATCAGCAAAAAACGCATTTCACGTAGTTGTCGACAAAATCAGTAATGTCCGAAGTATCCAGTAAATTTTATGAGGACGTTGAAACCAAAGAACGTGCTTTAGTGAAAATTGTTAAGTTGGGTATTTCCGCCGTAGAAAAATGGCCATTCCAACAAAATAAAGTTAGCATGGCGGACCATTAGATTTCTTCGAAGTAAACTTGTGAGAGAAATTATTCGATGCACCAACAAATGGATGTTTGAGGCGAATGCGACTCGCTGTGATCTGTGGTAGTAATGCTTGTGCACCGTCAACAAAAACTTACCACCTCACTTCCTCACTCTACTTCGCCGGAACAATTAAACTAAAATCAACAACGGAAGTCCTTTTTTTGCCGTTGTGAGAAAGATTTGCTACAGATGATAGAAAGCGCTTAAAAACATAGACTTACAGATTTTACAACAGCAATCCGGTGAAAGTAGAAGCACCGATAAGAAAACAAGATAGATATAAAAGTTTCCTCGAATTATGAAGAGCACTGCCTTTTTATGATGAAGATATTTCTTTTTATAACGACCCAAAATGAAAAATGCTAACAGAGTTCCTCCAAATTCTCATATAAATTCTAACAAATTAGGATAGGAAAGCGCTCATTTTGAAAATTTGTGGTCAATTAATTACAGCGTTAGTGGACAAAACACAACTCAACTTGTCGATAGGATGAAGCGCGGGTGCAATGATGGGCAGGCGATTTTGTTTATAGTGGAAAGGCGAGCGAACGACATGAGGGTAGAAACTTGCCTTGAATCCAGTTGTGACGAACTTCCAGTCGGTGTTGAATAGCCCTCCGTATTATCGTCCGACATATTCAATTCGTTGCTCTGAATAGTTTACAGTATTCCAGTCCTTCTAAGCTAAACTACCAAACACTAATGAAAGTGAACAATAATTTTCCTTTTTTAAATTTCAGAATTCATAATATCTTTCCCTAAATTTCCCTTTCCCGCTTTCCCTCGCTTTTCCTAAATTTAGAGTTAAAAGTATGAAGGAGAACGTCATGTTGTCTCATAAAGAGTACGGAAAAAAACTGATAGTTATCGAAAACCCTTCACCGAAGAACAACTGAGGATAAATCGTAAAGCACTGAACTTAGCTTTGACCTGTTCGGTGCTGTTGCCATTCATGAACGTTATCGAAGCCTCAAGGCTCTCACGCGATGTATCCGTCTGCGAACGCTGCACCATTTGGCTCAATTCGCCTAAAAATGTGGGAAATGAAATGAAACGAGAATAGTTTGGAAAACTCTAGGAATTCGCCAAACTTAAAACTGAAACGAAAGGAGTGAATAGGGCGAAAACACTGACGAAGGAAAAAGATACTAGTACAAAGTCACTGTAGAGATAACTGTTTATGAATCGCATCGCAAACCCCAGTAGTATCGCCCCATTGTTGTACACTTCTTTCAGCACTAAGTACCATTTTACGAACCTTCTATAGATCACTATAGCATCGGCCTGTATGGAGCGACGACCCACACACGTTTGGCTTAACATACAGTGAGAACAAGTTAGAAGTTGGTTAAGATCACCGATTTTTAAAATTGAAAAGCATAAAGTTTGAAAATGTCATTTCAGAAAATAAATTGGTCCAAGGTAGAACATACGAGGAAATAAACGTTTTCCTCAATTTTTAGTCAACGGTAATTATTCTGCATCTGTAATTCCATGGAACACATCTCACTTATAGCGACAACATGATGGACCTCTAAATACCTACTAAGATTTTTTATTATTTCGCCAGTAAGATATAACTCATTGATTCTTTAAAAGGTCTAAATTCTATTCAGTAAACCTTAACTGCACAATTGTTTAGTTTTCTTTTTCTTTTCTGTTTTAAACTGATCCAACTATAATACCGAATAGGCTGACATCATTCAGTTATGTAATAGGTGAATTTATTGCTGTCAAATCCGGCCTTTGTAAAGGATGCAAAAGGTGAGAGGCAGTCATTTAAGTCTAGTGTACAGATTAAGATAACACCTAAAAATTAATAGACCCCGAATTTTGTCAACGAAAAGGTAAAATTCGCCAAGTGTCGAAATACGAAAACCATCACGATTCACTTATAAAATGCGAATTCTTCGAAACCGGTGCGGAATCATTTGACGCCTTCGATCGAAGCGCATTAGAATGACAAAAACTACTATTTATAACCGCAATGATGCCGTGATATTTACAAAATTTTGGACTGCAGGTGACTGCGATGGAGAACGAAAATTGTGATTTGTATTACAACTTCAGCTTAAGTGGATTCAGTGCCGAGTACTGCTCCCCAGATCAACCTCGTTTAAGGGTGATTGCAGATAGCACCTATAAGCTAATCAAACGACTGAGAAAAAGACGAAACGAAGGACCCGCATGGTGTGGTAGCGAACGCATTAGACCCCGGAAAGGGTAATAGCACATTCGATCGCCACCGCAGACACGTGCTGTCCGTAGTTTCCAAATATCCAAGCATAATTGTTATCTTTAACATCATATCCTACCATGAAAAAACAATAGGCAGTACATAAAAAGTGATCACTACTATTTGTTCTATTCATACTTTTACTTATGCCATGTTTCGTTTTCCTTTAGTCACTGTTCACACAATATCGTCTTGAATTAGGCGCCGTTGCTCCTGTAAGTTTAATACCGCTTATCGGATTAGTTGTTAAAAGTTCGCTTCGCAAAGTACACTTTTTTCTTTATCACAGTTAATCTAAACTATTTCTAGCGGAAAGGAAATTGTTCTGTTAGAGTGAAATGTATGTCAACCACCTACCGCAACCACCGCGTGCTATATTACGACACTGAGAAATCCGCTGCCACTACTGTACGAATTTCATGGTGATAGGCTCCTATGCATAACCAACAATAAAGCACCAGCTATTCTGCAGTTTTTTGTACCAAACCGACCAGCCAGTTACATAATGTCGTCATGTTGTATGTGATCGTAGGGTTGTTGACAAGGAAAAACATAAACTATACGATTGACAGAAACATTTTTCTCCATCATCCTACTGTAGGCCGAAAAAAATTTAATATTCCTTTTTTAATAAATTGATGAGTAACTTATAATGGCAATAATTTTCAAAAAAAACTCATTGACACCAGTTTATTTTCTCCAAGTAATTTCGTCATTCAATAGGGCAAGTATCGGCAGAGGTAATACTGCGAAAATTCTCTAACACAAAACGAGAAGGTGAGTCAGGAATCTAATGGCCAAGCAATGATTGTGATGTTAGACATTAAGTGGTCGTTGTCTAACGTTTCATTTCGACTTGGCAAAAAATCAGTATTCGCTTGTGATTCACGCATTCATATGTATGAGTGTTCTTCGAAGTTGTGACTGACAAACCTATGCATTGAAAGAAGTAAGAGCAACATCAGATTAAAGCTTAAATAATGCTTATATGCAAAACGTATGCAAGCGTTTAAAGTAAAGTACACAAGAATTACAGTTTGTAACTCTAAAAATCGGTGGCATAGTTCAAACGTGCTTACTTTAAAGGAATAAAATGAGTGCACTGAAAGGATAGGAATGGTAAAAGGCGTATCGGGACACGTGACATTAAGACCCGTGCAAAAAGCGAAGCTATGTCATCAAAGCTATTTACATGCTTGTAAATATAAAGCAAGTAAAGTGTAAATATGCGTGTTAAGAAGAGGTTTTTTCATAGGAAAGGAGGGCGAACCAACTCTGCATAAGATGACGATGCAATGTTGCTTTAGTGTAAGACGACAACATGCGAGAGTAAACGTTCTTAGCTCATTAGTGAATGATTCTAAATGGCGTTTGGTGTATTGCTCCAGCAAAGCTAGTATCGTCTCTATGCAATTGTTTCGTACTAATTTCTCACTTTCTGCCTTTATTCGTAATTAATGAGAAGTTACAGCGCATTGCGTTATTGATTAGGAATAAAAAATAACTACTGAATACTGCTCTATTAAGTAGCACTAAGGCAAGGTGCTGCATTTTGCTGTGAATGTTGGTCTAAAAGTGAGATCTTGAGATATAGATATATTGTACCATAATAAAGTAGAAATTTCAACGTGAGTATGGAGACTCAACAACAACGAAGTGGCTTGAAAAAAGGAAAGAGAAAATGATGGCGAAAACACCCTTCGTACCGACGAACAACTATCGGAAATATGACAAATAACATCCGTATTGTTCCTACGAATGCGATATATGACAAGTAGGAGAAACGGAAATAGTGCAAAATACAAGCAGCGCTTCAAGCACCTACAGAGTGAAAAACTGAGCTCAATTTCTAAAACGCCCAATATTTACCTGCGAGTTTTACCTTCCAAGTTTCAGAAAAATAAAATTATGATCCCATTAGTGACCGATGGGCTGATTTATTTTTTCTAATACCATGAAAACTATCGTTATTGATAAGTCAGTCTAAGATACAATGTTTCAGAAACTCTCTCGAAATCTTTAAAGATAAAAGGAAAAAGGTGCCGGCTTGATCAATCCCTGGGAAATGCACTATGCATTTGATTTCACTCAGCGTCGTTAGAACTAATTCAATACATATGTGGCCTTCATAATGACTCACGGTGGCCTATAGATGTATCGAGCCAGTGCTGCAATCCTCCCAGACAACTCTAGTAGCGATTTCGTGACCTCCGAAAGATGGAAGGCCTAGTGAGTCTGGGGCGCGGGATCGATCCTATGTCCATTGTTGGGCGCCTCCAAGCACTGCACTACACGCGCCGCTCAAAATCTTTAAACATATGAAAAGCGAATAATTCCTGGTGTTCTCCGGTCTATTTGAGTGGAAAACTAAAATACATGTATCAGCTATGCAAGAAAATATGGAATGATCACTTTATAAGGAAAAGAAGCGGCATATTCTTCCTTCAGAAATCTAGTTGTGTTGCAAAACCAATCGCGAAAGCTCTCCACCAAACGTGTTGTCTTCGTCAACACAATAGATGTGCAGTTTCATTCAGATTCTTCCGCAGGTTTTAGCTATTTAACTGGGATTTTCTAAAACACCTACTGTAAATGCAAAAAAGTAGATAAATTATGAAGAAGACCCATAATCAGGCGAACTGTAACCACAAGAAGTCCTGTCCTGCATCAGTAGAAACCGTTCGTATATACCTATGTAAAGCAGCGTAAACATGAATGAAAAAACTTCTTTTAAGCCGATTAAAGGACAGTTTAGAAGAACTTGTTTGGATTTTTTGTATTTCAATTCTTTCATCTTCTTAAATACTTTAACAAACAATGCAGAAATTTTGGCAGAATCGAAAATACTTTAAGCTCATTCAGGAAAAAGCTTTCCGGTTTCTTACCTTCATATTATCTTAGCAATTGAATGGAGACACTACTCGTATCACCTGTAATCTCACCGTACAACTAAAGTGAGCTCCGGTGGAATCTCCACTCATCATTGTTGCGTACTAGTGCTATTCAATAGAACAACGAGGCTTGATTTGAGAAACACAACACTTCTACTATGAGATGCTTTATTGCTACAGTCTTTGCTAAAAAAAAGTAGCTACAAAGCTTCGACAACTTTTCCTGTGACATATCTACTCTTTACCCCTAGATGCGCTTCCGAATGAAAATTTCAAACTTCTTATCAGTTGCAGGACTTTACTGTGAAAGGAACCATTGCTGTGCTTTGCAGTTTGACTCTAAAGAACACCATCTAACCCTGATAAAGTGGCGAATCAGTGGAAGCTGAGAAAAAGCGGTCTGGGCTACACTGAAATAAGTGGAACACTATCCTTAGAAGCATGAGCAATCAACGGGATAACTAGTACTTTCACAAGATTTTTTCCTTACTAAATTACAGCATCTCATAAACAAATTTATTTGCTTTTGTGCACTTGTTATACGGCGTACACCATAGAGGAAAACCACGTTGAAGAAGGCAAAGTGTCAAAATAGAGGTCTCCCAGTTGGGAGCTGACTGTTTTGCCGCATAAGAAAGACATAAGAAAATCCCAGAATACGGGTTGCAGTTACATTTCATGGGAAGTTATACTGATGGATGTATCGTAGAATTTAAAAACAAGGTTCAGTTTCTGAATATGGAAGACAGAAGAAAAACGCAAACTTAGAAAGACGTACATTAGGCAGAAAGAACATGTTAACGAGTATAAGAATATGGTGTATCGTGGCGAAGCAATACTCTCGCAAAGATCGCAAGACGACGACCGACTGTCGAAACGACCGATCAAACATTGCTTGACGTACGGCGACGGTTCGCGACCGCCAGATGCTGAGCGCGACAGGGGTCGCATGCCAACTTACTTACGAACACATGAGTTCCGGTGCTATTTTTACACAATGTATCCCAAAAATGAAAAAAATATCGAAACGTCAAATGGAATCCTTTGGTAATGAGCATTGATGATTAATTTCAATACTTCCACTCATCACTCTTTTCGACTGTATTTGCATTCCACTTTAAAATACGACATGAATTTTTCAAGACGTTTTGAGTGTCTTCAATAGTCTAGTGTTGAAGAACTACTGAATATTAAATAAGTGACCAACTTCCAAGTCATTGCTACGATAGCTTACTGTGCCAAATATCATCTTCAACGCTATCGCTTTCTGAACCACTTTACTTGTCATCCATAAAAGGTGATGAAAGACACGAAAATTTTTTAGAACAACAAAATTTAGCAAGGTTAAACGTGTGGACGCAGGAAGGAAAAGTACACAAAGAGAACAGTTTAGGAGTAAGAGGTAAAACTTTATCAGCAATGCTTATCATCAATATCTTCGGAAGACTTAACCGTTTCTCAGCACTCATCTGTTAGTTGCACGCCAATGACTAATAGGAATGATGAGAAGTTTGTTCACTGATAAGAACATTAAATTTCTTGCGTTAACGTCAATATGAGCAATGAGTAATGCCCGAATTAGACGTTCCCAGTTTTTTGTCCAAATCAAACACGAGATTACTGCAGAATATTCATTTGAGCCTGTATGAAATCATTGCGAAATATACGTTTCTCAGATCTGCACGCAATAAAACTACAAAAAGCTGAATAAGTTCCTTTCCTTCAGATATTCACTGCATACTGTTACAATGAGAGTAAAAGGAAAATGGTAAGCTAAATTCAAAAGTCCATAATGAAGGGATATAAGCTGGATATACTTTAGGACTTCAGAAGAACTGTTTGATGAAAGCGTGTCAGAAACCGTATGAAGACAAATCAGCATCCGTAGCTGTTCAACACTTCAAAAGAACCTACTGTCGTGGACGGAAGGACCTGCCTATACGCATTATCATCTCTTCACATTTTCCATCACATAATATTCCTTCACACTCCATATTAGATGCTAGCATCATTTGTTCTGAATTCGTCACGTTATTTCTACGGATGACTGCTTAACACGCCACTTATTCCGAATTCATTCTTCATCGATTGTCTTACCAATGCTTTTTTTGTATTGGCTCTATAGAATATGGTTCTCAACTAACCAACACAATAAGCAGATTTAATTCGTGAAGAGTTTTTGCGTTGTTTATTCAGAAAGCCCGTAATAGATTTTTAAAAAAATAGACAATCAATATTTCGCCTTGACAACTCAACAGATGTTAACATATAATTCTCAGTGAAGAAGAAGCCCTATCACGAGTCGTTCCTAGCGATAATGGGAAAATGATTTCGCAGATGAACTAATATAAGGTGCAAGAAGAACTGCGAAATGCTACTTATGCAGAAAGCATTGACATACAACGAAAAACGCGATTCAAGTCCAACCATTAGACTAACGCCAATGTGTTTACCGCTGTAGTTTAGTGAAACGGCTAATACAAACACTATCTTATACTTTCTCTCCAGAAACCTCTTCCACATTTTTCATTTCTCTTGTAGCCAAACAAATCATATACATAAAATGGAACTTTTTTAACAACGTAAAGAATCCATCGGAGACCCATTGCATTTTTATAAGGTGATAAGCCAACGATAGATTGCTTCTCGTCGACTGGCGTTCGCTGGTCGACCGGAGGAAGTGCTGCGAATGGTACGGTTGGCGTAGGCGCCCTAACCATCCATCCACCCATCCATTTATTACCTCGGATAATGCGGGTCAATCGATAACGTGGAGTCTGTTGAGCCCATCGACCTTATTGTATGCACATCGTCCGATCGTCGCACTTTTAATCAAAATCGTCAGGCGAATTTCCTGTATCGTTTACATTCGATTTTTTGCTGTAGTTATTCAGTCTCTAAATGGCAGCGTAATGTTCGAGAAACGCCCTCCAAAACTAATATACTTGATGGAGAATCACTACGCCTTCGATCAAGGTCAGTTTATCGGGAACCAAAAATCTTATTCAACCACCGACCGCAATGAACACTCACTAATACAGCTACAGTACTGCACACTTAGGGAACGAAATTAGTAACAGTTATGGTAGCACAGTAGATCATTCGAAAAAATCCGAGAAATTAAGCGGAGTTTTGGCGCATCCAAACTTCTTTATAGCACTGATTTATGATTTAGACGTTAGTTGTTTCTAATCGATCGAAATGGAGAGTTTTTTTTCATTCAAAATCGTAAAGGAAGCATTGCCACTTTTGTAAAAACGCCGAGTACGTTTTATCAAAACCTCTACTTTTACCGTAATAGTATTGTTTTGTGCCGGAGAAAACTTTTTGACATTCTTCGCAGTCAAATTCCTTTAAAAATTTTTGACGTTGACAAATAAAGTTAAGGATTAATAGAGAGAAGTAATTCGTGTCCAACTATTAAGTGCAAATGTTTCGTTTAGTTGTGTAGAGTGGAATATCTGCATAAAAGACGTACAATTTACTTAAGGCAAACGAAAGCTGTGATTGTATCATGAGTGAGGAAGAACATTACAGAAGATGTCAGTGTCACCGAAGAGCAATTAGATCGTTTACCTCGACAGCTGATTGTTCGACGATTCGACTTATTCTGCTTTTGTTTTGCAATGATCACATACACTTTCGATGTTATCAGCGACGTCACTACCGCAATTTTTCATTATTATGATGGCAGGGTGAGTTCTGGCTAGTACTGAGTAATCTATACAGCCAGTGATACTTCTCATCTCACCAAATACCTAGAAGTCGGAGAAAAGTGTTAGTGTAATGGCTGCTTACAATTGATTCTATTTACGAAGCATGGAAAGCGTTCAGACTTAATCCATCTCGGTTTGGCGCGTCATGCATTCGACTTCATCAAGCATCACCAACAGCTGATTGAATGAAAATCTGACCTATACAGTATCTCTCCGTTGTCCTACAGATGTGTCGAGTCAGTGCTGCTTTGCCCTAAATAAGTCTGGTAGCAATTTGCCGAACCCGGAAAAAGCCTTAGTGAACCTGGGGCTCGGAATTGAACCCATGTGTAGTGCAGGGCACCACTAATCACTCCACTGCACTTACCGTTTTTCTAGTTATAGATCTACAAAGTGAGAAATCCGCTCATCTTATCGCTGATCAGTTTGTGCACGAAAGTCATTTTGCAGATGATTGCATGCTTGTTCATCCTTCTCTTGTCGCTGGTGCCATCCATCGTTTTAAATGCGGTCTCCTTTGCATGGATCGTTGACGACAGTCGTCTTAAGACAAAGTCGAGAGGAAAATCAAATAACGACGTGATGAAATGTGAAACTTACGGCAATCACGGTCTACTATGCATTCTTCAGGTTTGCGTTTTTAGCGGTAGAAGCTTCCAAATACAATAAGGCTTTCGCAGTCGTTGAACCTTCAATTAACCATTTTTTCCCATATGTTCTTTTCAAACACAGCAATGGTAAACAAACTGAAATAAACAATAATCAAATGAAGAACAGCTAGATGAGTAAATGGTTGGTAAGATAACAATTTCTTTCCAGACAGAAACTTTTATGTCCGATTTCCATCCTTTCACAAGAGCTACAAATTCACCAAACTTTAACCTATATGCCGCTATCATATATTCTGTTCCTTTAGCATTTTGACATTGCTTGACTCCATTCAGAATTGCAATAGAATTTTCAACCATCTTGTCCCGGTTTATTTTTCCATCGCTGTTTTTTATCTGCAAATTTATTATTCTCACGACTTTTTAATGCTGTCGTAAGGGTGGACTAAAAAAATCGAATCCATCATTAATTCTTTTGTCGATGATAGTCTCTACATCGCTTCCAAACTAAGACATCCCTGCTAAAGGTTGTCCTATTGGCCTCGTTCACTTCACTTCTCTATCCTTAATTAAAAGAGAAAGAATGATGAGAGGAATCGAAAGCATGACTTAGAACTTATACCCAGTTGTTTGAAGTGTTCAGGAGAATACTTTAGTTGACTATAATCTTGGAATTAGATAGTCTAGTTTAAATAAGTTTATTTTTTTTTTGCACAGATCGGTCCTTTATGGTGGTTCTACAAGGCGCTCGTACATGGTATTCGTTTTCGGCTTGAATCCGACCCTATAAAACGACGCAAGCACTTCTGTCGAATGATTGAAGCCGAAAAAGACGCGACGATGTTGCGATTTTTCGAGAGCTTCCTGGAGTCCGCTCCTCAGCTGATCATCCAAGGCAATATACTTTCAGAGTTTCTGAGATGGCATTTGAACGAGACAAGCAGCATACTGAACCTTCCGTGTTGGAGTAGGTTACGGTTATGATTAGTACAAGCTCTACTTCCTAATTCCTTTTTACCTTTTCATTAGCAAATATTTTAAAGGCTATAGCCGGCGGTTGAAATGGTTTCAGTGTATGTGCAAATGTTATCGATGGTGCTGTCATTGCTTAGCATCTGCTGGTCAATTTCTATCCAACATCGAAGTCTCCGAATGGTGAGACCAGACAAAGTGAACATGCATCCTCATGAAAGCATCCTTCAAGTATGTGCAAGTTTTGAATAATCCCTATGTCGGAATAGATAATGTTAAGAAATCAGTAATTTTTCGCACGTCGGACTCTCTATTAACCTCGTCATTGTTTGAACAATTCTTTCTACTTCTGTTCAGCAAACACGAGGTGCTATTTCATTTCTTTTCTTTCTTTGCATTACGTAAAAGCTGACGTTTCGGCGGATTTGGCCTTCCTCAAAGCCTGGAAGGGTCAAGTTGACAGCAGCCTATTCGGCCAAACACCTCCATAACCAAACAGAGAAAACGCTAAACCAAGATTTAAATCACATTAAACACACCTTTCCACACTCACGGCTTTCTATGAGGCTTCCACTGAGTATGTCGCGTGAAGAACAACCGCACAGAATTCACATAGAAGTGTAATGTGCTCTTCCCATCAGAATAACAGGCTTACATAATGTCCATAATATCACGCCTGACAATGAGGCGTTCTTCCCTGCGGTTCATTTTCGGATTTCAGGAATTAGTCCAGAATACTTCGAGAGTTTTGCGCGCTTGTGTTCTTGATTCCTGCGCGAGGATCGTGGCACGTACTTCAAAGTCCTCCCCGTAATGTCTCTGGGTCCCATGCGTGCCTAGCGGTGTATTTTGTTTATGTTTGCCGGCTAGGTGTTCTTTTATGCGGACACAAAGGGGCCTGCCCGTTTCGCCAATGCATTCGTCTCCTCACGCCTTACAGGAGATCAGATAAACTATACCCGAGCTCATGCAATCACCATCTTTACCATTGGGGCGAATTATGCAATTTTGCGTTGCACATAGACGGTCACATAGGCGGTTACGAACTACCTGGCGCCTAAGATTACTCGGTGGCATTCCAACTACGTTTACCGAGTTCTCTAGACCCGCCCTTCTTAAGCAACGTTTTATAGCTGCACTTACATCATTTGAGATGAAGGGCAGGATAAACGGGACCTTTTTATCGCTAGAGTTATCGTTTGGGGGCCTCCGATTTTTCTACACCTTTCCCGAACTACAGTTTCGTAGCCATTAAAAATGGCTATTTGCCGTGCCTAGTTCCAGGACTCCTCTCTCTGCTCTCTTTCCGTGCACACGTTGGTTGCAAGCGCTCCTTTCGTGGGATAGAGGTGAGAAGAGAGGTAATGTACCAAGATTTTTTTACTACTTGGCTTTCGGTACAACTTCGTAATGTAGCCATTTTCTGACAGGTTGATTTGGACGTTCAGGAATGGAAACCATTTTTTTCGAAGCCGACTTTCGCTGAACCTCGGTGTGACTAATCAATATGCATTCCTTCTTGATAAGCTTACACGAGGTTGATAAATATATTTATTTTCGGCTAACGTTTCGACGTCTTCGTCTTCCTCAGAGCCGATGATCCGAGTCGATGGTCCATGATTGTTGTTCGTCTCGACGTTGCAGCTTCGCCTTCGTGTCGAGCCAGGTCTTCCTCAGTGATCCATCTTCTCGAATCGAGGTTTTCGGAATTCCAGAGAACCACAATGGCTTAACCAGCAAATTTCCAAAAAATGGTGATTATGCTGGGGTCGCGCCACTGGTGAGGACTGGCC